CATATTTTCTGACCCTCGTCGCCCGTTGGTAGATGGTATCGTTTCTGGGACGGACAGACATTCGAGAGGTGAGCGATGTAGAGTAGCACAGACCCACACACACACAGACAAACCCCAATGAAAAGCCCTCAAGTGCAAACCCTCGCCCTCGTCGAACGGTGGGAGTAAGGCGGGGTACTAGGGAAGCAACCAGTTAATATAGACTGGAGTGCTTAGGGGTGAAGGCTGCCTATATAGTAGTGCGTTACTCGTGTCTCCGCTAGAGTCTGACACTGGGCTAGCTACAGTATGTAGAAAATAGTTTCCCTCGTTGTGACTGAAATCTCGTAGCAACTTCAAGATACACGAGCAAGCCGACCCGAAGCCTGTTGAAATACTAAACGCGGCATGCGATTTTTTCCGCAGCGAACTGAAACAATGAAAAGGTAGGGCCGACTAGAAGGGGAGCATAGCCGCTCACAATAGCGGAAGCACGCTCTAGCATTGCAACCGAAGCATTATTGGTCAGAGAAAACCGTTCAAGACATAATTCTGACCTTCATTGCGTAAGTCAGAGATCGTATCCTTTGTGAGGGACGAACAACCACCTCGAGAAGTGAGCTTGATGAGTACAGACACACGGACGACGGACGGACGGACAGACGCAATGAAAAGCACTAAGTGCAGAAACCCTCGGCGAACTGGGGATGCGACCTAGATACGCTAATGATGGCATGGGCTGCTATAGTATGCGTTTCCTCGTGATCTCCCGCTACGTATAACGCGGTCGCAGGAGAGTCTAGAACAAACGCTAGCACTAGCTACAGTAGTCGATAGTATGCGAGAGTCCGATACACCGCCCTTCGTTGATAGGACGATCTTAGTGCCGTGGGTCAAGTACACAGAGACAAGCGGACGACCCGGTTTTCGAGGTTCTAAGCGAACATGCGCATATCGTACCGCAGACGATAATATAAAAATGGCCGATTGACGCATTCACGTCATGCTACAAGATGTGATGGAAGACGCTCTAGAAAAGCTCTAAAAGCGGTCTAAATGCCACACGAACTGGGAAGACATTTTCAGAGAAAACCAAACACACATATTTTGCTGACCTTTCCGTCGCGCCCGTGTTGGGTAGATGGTAGCGAGTCTTCTCTTTCTTCTGACGACAGACATCGAGTGAGATGAGAGTAACAGACACACACACAGACCCCAACTACAGTACCCTCGCTGCGCATGCGCGCCGAGGTAACTACAGTAACAAACCTCGCTGCGCATGCGCAGTCCGAGAGTTGAACTACTGTTACCTCGCTGAGAGCGATGCGCGCCGAGGGTAACTTATTTGCCACTATACAAGGAAGATACCACACCTTTGATGTTTGCTTAGTCTGTGATGGCACTCTGTGATGCCACTACGGTATAAGCCGCAGTATGGAAACCCTTCCCACCTTGTGTGTAAACATATCTCACCGATGATGAGAACTAAGTGTCAAAACATAATGCGGGCGTAGGAAATACGGGTCTGTCTTCAATGTTATAAACCATAATTAACCTCGGTGCACAGGTGCAATTTAGGGTTATGGAATTGTGTTTGTGAGTGTTTCATTCTGTTCTTGTTTTTCTACCACCACATGCAAATCACAGCAGGCTAAAAGCAATTACCGACGGGTCAGCACTACACTGGCTCATTTTAGCTTTGGCTATTAACTAGGCACACACAGCATGCACAGACACACTAGTAAAGCAACACTCTGCAGGAATGGGCCGATTCGTGGATGTGTGTATGGTCGTTCATCTAGATAAGGGAATAGACTCACACACCTTAGCCTTCATGTGTATCATGCACCAACCATGCTCGCTAAAAACGCTGAGGTCTCATTTTATTGATCTCACCGTTGGTCAGTGACACCGATAATGTGTGCATGTATGCCATTTTACAAGTGGCATTGTGGTTCACAAAGTTTCTTCTGCATCTTACACTGCCATGATATGCACACGGGATGTACAGCACTAATAGAGAAATCGCATGGATCTGGAGATTCCTTAAATCATGCCTGAAATCGGCTAAAAATGATGGAGGGGGGATCTTCAATATGCGGCACGTAGGGTGCATTAACGATATAATACAACAGTTTGGTGGTGCCTCAGAAAATTAATCATTCGGAGAGATGCTTATACATTAGCTGAATACCAGGTTGAAAGTGGTGGTTCCTGAAAACAATTTTTCAAAATTAGACAGAGTCGGTAGGGTTACACTTGGAAATTACTAATATTTAGGGTAAAACTAAGTTTAAGATTTATTTCTGTAAGCTCACAAAATAAAGAGAAGGGGAAAAATGGGGGAAAAGGGGGGAAAAAAAAAATAAATAATGCTCTTAAGAGTATTGCTTGCCTCACATGTTGTGCATCCACACGCGCAGAGCCCATGCCGACATGTTAACGGCCGCCAGAAAGCGACCTCCGAATACAACCACATGCGTTCAACTGAGATGTATAGGCAAATATAAACTAGGCCCAATATCTGGAACATCGGGGGCTGGGATCTGCAGGGTTTAGCTCAAAATTATTGTGGCATGCACAAAGTCCTATTGTAAAGTACGTACTATCTAATAAGCATAAAAACCACAAAAATGTGGCCAACATAATTTGTCACTACATGAGGTGGTCATAGGTTAATGGTCATTCCAGTAATAAAGTGGTTGTTCTGTATCAAGGAAAGGCCTTCTCTTTAGGATAGTACAGCGGAAGGACAAGTGTATTATCTTAGCCAATATCTCTGCCAATAAAAAGTAGCCCAAAACTGAAGATGATAATGCAAGAGTGGAATATATCAGATATGAACTAAGTTTTATTGCCAAGACTTAATTAGTAAGCCAAAAAATTAGGGAAACATAAACATTAAAACAGGGTCAAGATGTTTTCCCGAATTCCGTAGAACAAAAAAAAACGGGACTTTCACTTTGTAACGGAATGCGTAACTTTTATTATTATGACCCTCGTCAAAAAATATAATCAAAGCCGGGAAGCGTGAACTTTGTGGACCTGAAACAAACTAACCCAGAGGTGACGCTGAAAATAGGGGATCTGGTGGGGAAAACAAATTGTCATCGAAGGAAAAAAATGCAAAACAAACGTGCAAACAACGAAACACGATAATCATTTGGTTGAATAATTGTTGGCAACTCGAAAGAGTGGGATAACAAAAGCAAGAATACACATGATAGTGTTCAAGATGTAAATAAAAAAAAAAAAGGAAAGGAAGCAAAAACATTAACAAGAAGCAAGTTGTTGGCGAGTTCCCTGTTGCCCTGTGAAATAAGAAACTACCAACAGTTAGACAAATAAAAATTTTGCCGCAAAGAATGTGCTAAGTTACGGACTTAAATCGTCAGCACGCACAATAAAATCTGTTAAAGCAAATACGAAGGCCCGGTCTGTGAAATTGTATTAATGATTCTCTGACACGCGGCGTAACAGAAGTGCTGGATATAAAGCTGTTCAGTGGTTGGGTAAATACGTGCTCGGAAATGGAAAATGAAATGTACCGACATTTTATACGGAAAGAATTCTATATGCTTAATGCGAGGGTTTCTATAGGATTACTAATTACAAAAAAGCAACTAGTAAAGGGCAGATAGGACGACCAAAACAAAGCAAACGGGCCCCACCACACACTTACAAACGAGCGAAGTCTGTTGGGTGAGGTAGCGTCACCACAGTTAACATGTGGCTCAAGATAAAAGGGCCATGCGGCAACGATTGGGAAATTGTGGGAATGTATGCAGACAATAGGGTATAAAAGGGCTGGGGGAGAAGGAAACAGCGGAAAAGGATGGAGGAAACGGGACGGACTATCAGAAAAATATAAGGGTGGTCGTGGGCAGGTGTCATCACTAGGCGGTCTGCTAAGTACCGTCGTGTATACGAGTACACAACAGAAAAGGATAAATAACGAGCCCAAGGAAGCTTTACTACATGCTATTTCCTGATATATCATTTTTCATTGATTGATTACTTGTTACCAAAACTAAGACCTAAAATGCAAACCACATGTATAAACAATAAATGAAAAAGTTCGCATGCTCCTTCCATGGCGGATCTATACCTTTATAGGTTTAAGACTGCACAGGTAATTTGTGAACAGGAACAAACAAGGCAATTTTTTTATGATAATTCCAAGGGCTCAGCCTGGAAGGTTTAACACATTTGTAAGGGAGAACCCCCACAGTGGGCAATGGATAGTCAATTAATACTATGGTAACCGATTGCATCCTCAAAATCTGATTGAAATTTATTTATGGACAATAAAGTATTATTTTTGCATGGCCAGTGCCATTTTGTGTTGCTGGCCAGGTAGCTACACTGTTTGTGTATATAGTAGCCGGTCAAAACCAATGGACCACACTACAGCAATTATAGCATGCCTCCCCTTCACGTTGACGAGTCATCTGAGGTTTTTGGTAATGTAAGACAAACATTACAGGTGCAATTCTAAACAGACACTCCGCTCACCCTGTATTTGCCTACTAGTACAAATTGCATGGTCGTGCAGTCCCGGGTCATGCTCACTCTCCCATTGCATAGTTGTCAGTCACTGCAGTGTGGAGGATATGTGTAATGTCTCTAATTCTGATGGGATAGTATTCAGGTGTTGCCCACAGCTGGCCTGAAGTCTCAGTTGGGTTGTTGTGGTGGTATAGTGATCCGTGCAGTGTACCCATGCCATCTCACCGAGCAGTGGCCACTGGGGAGCCTTTTGGCTGGGGAGTTTGATTGGTTATGAGGTTTAGACCGGCTATAAACATACCCCTTGTCTGTCAACCTCAGCTGTCTTGGGAAAACCAGAAAGCAAATGCATGGCAATTTTGGCAAGCGGGAGGGAACCTACAACTGCATCTGCATTGTACATGTGAAAGGTTCTGTGTTTGTAGGACATTTAAAATGAAAAGCACTAAAGTGCAAACCCTCGGCGAACTGCGCATGTGCGGTACCACTAATTGATGGGCTGGGCTTTTTATGCCTTTACTCGTGGTATCCCGCTAGTAGCTCGCGGAGAGTCTGACACGGGCTAGCTACAGTAGTAAATAGCATGCGGGAGTCGATACATGCCCTTCGTTGTGACTTGTTGTGCCTTCAAGACACACAGAGCGAACGGACGCGGTCGGGGTAAGCCTGTGCTAATTTACATAACCGACTAAGTTCATGAAAAAATTATTGCGTATACCTTATTAGCTTGTGGTCTTGTTGCCCTTGTTTGTATATACTGGGTACGACACAGACTGCAGAACTTTGCTGCTGCTATTATCAAAGATATTGTGACTGGCTACCCACACATTGGTCTCAATCAAAACCACAGTGACCAAAACCAGAAGTGTTAGACTTGTGTATGTCTACTCCCCCCTCCCCCCCTTGCAACATGTGTATTGGTGTTTTTTTGCCCTGTTTGGGTTATTCTAATGGGACCCTCACTTGGCTTGTTCACTTGGTTTTCACGCCATAACTTTAAAACACAGTAGTTTTACGAAAATCGCCTTTTTTTAAAATCAACCCAGTGTAGCTCTGAACCCGATCATATCGCTATTTACCTGATTTCGTGCGCGCGGTGGCAGAAAACGTGGTAACAGACAGACAGACAGACAGACAGACACACTTACGGGACAACTACCGTAGCCCTCGCTGCGCATGCGCGCCGAGGGTTAAAACCTACTGATTGATTCTCTTTGTGGCGGGCCTTTCTCTCCGTTTCTGCTCTTGACTCCTGCCTATTTACGGCGGGCGGACCTCTCTGAGTTGGCAGCAATTCTCTACTCTTGATTCCTGCGTAGCAACTGAAGGCAGGTCTTGTTGCTGGACTCTGCAGTAATTCGCCTTGCCTTCAGAGCTGTTCCAGCCATTTCCTCTTTTTCTCTGTAGTACGTCGCCCTCTCTTTCTTGAAAGATGTATCACTAGCCTTTCGTTTGCTGTTTTGGCACCGAGGTGTTCCCAATCAGCGTTGAGAAATCTGAGCCTCTCTCTGCTCAGGTGTCTCACAGGAACGACGGTATTTATCCCTTTCTCTTCCACGGTGAAGAAAAAATCACTCACTGTGGCCGTGGGGGGCACACACCTACATAATCAAACAAGACATTTTATCCATCTGACTCCGTCTGATTGACAGTATATAGCAAGTTTCATCATTCAAACTAAACTTTGCACTATCGTTTGTACTGTAGCTTCCTAAATACATAGTGTCTATTATGTGTATAATGTGTTACTACATTTATACAGAAATCCCAAGAGGGAGAGGTTGTTCCAGAGCTGTCTCAACTGTATGGCAGGAGGTCTCGAGATGCAATAGCCAAGGAATTCAATCTCCAAACTCCACTCTATTTCTCCTACACCCACTTAGTCTGTCGCACCGCCAAAGATGGTATGCCGCACCCACCTTTATCTATTCATTGTCTGGACGACTAAATGATCTGTGCACACATTATTCTGAAGGCATGGTTTTATACTAGCTGAAACACTCATGCGCAATACTGTGTTTAAGAGAAGCACATGCAATAAAATTAAGTGGTACTTAGCTACAAGAGCAGTACTTAATCGTCTTAATGCTTGATTTTTCCACATATCTGTCTGTAACGTACATCGGGCCATACATTCCAGAATGTTTAACTATACTGCTCATTTTGTTTGTAAAAAGATGTATTATACTGTATCTGTGTGTCTGGTAATGGCTACTGACCACCACACCAACCCCTCCCTGCAGTGGTGGAGAGGAGAGATCTGAGTCATCCAGTCCACTCTGATAACTGCATCCTGAACGAGGCCACTGGAGAATGTGACAAAGTCCCTCCTGCCTACACCTGGAGAGCAGGTCAGTGGAGGGAAGAGATGGGATGCGGCCGAGAAAGGAAACCACATTTGAATGACTCTAATACCGGGACACTACTACCTCAGAGCTTAAACACATGCAATTCTCAAACCTCAAAACAGTTATATCACCCTCATTTACGGTGTACGGTAGTTTAAGCAGTTATACAATTCTGCAATCCTCCCCCCCCCCAGTGCCATTCTGTACCTCAATGATGAGTTTGAAGGAGGAGACTTCTTCTATGCACACACTACAAAAGACCTCTCACCTGAGGTATGTGAGTTTGCCATTGCCATGCCGTGCTCCTGGATTAGGCTTAGCTTTTACTCACATAGATCCATGCTTGTGGCCATATTATAAATTGTGCTGCCACAGCATGCATCTCATTTCATGTCTGCTCTATATAACAGTCAAGAATGCACAGTGAACAACATACAGTGGTGAAAGACTGAGAACAAGGCCATCCATGGCTGTAAAACACTTCAGCTACAATTGAGGAAAGATAATTATATTGTTAGCACAGTTTTCTTTAACTCCCATCTCCCCCTGCCCCTCTCCCTGTGCCTCAGGAGACGGTGAGTCCAAAGTGTGGTCGTCTGGTGGCCTTCTCAGCAGGGAAGGAGAACATGCACGGAGTACTGGCTGTCACCAAGGGCAGTAGGTGTGCCGTGGCTCTCTGGTTCACCCTTGACCCCAACCACAAGGAGGCTACCTTCTCCATGGCTGAGGAGACTGTTTCATGAGATCAAGACTGTTTCATGATAAGAATTTTGTCTACGACTGATTCAAATTGTGTTGTTCTTTTCTCTCTTGTACCAATTATGCAGCTGCAAGTGTGGACATTGTAATTCACTTGTGCGTCACTAGATAATAATGACAAAGAATCACATTATAACCATACCTATTGTGGTGTAAGTAATGATCGCGTTATGGGTGTGGATTAGTTATTCTCTCTAAGCTTCCCTGCGAAGCCTGTATAAATGTTCTTGTCTGACCCTCAAAAGCACAAGCTGTGGGGAGGGAAGGACAGTAAAAAGCCAAGACTACTTATTTGCAGTCATATGACGTACCCCTCCTCAGGAAGTTAGAGCAAGAGTGGTGGCTAATAGTTGAACCTTCAGAACTACTATCATGTTTGAAGAATTGGATATCTTCTCATGTAATTGCCATTTCTTCCTTTTATAGCTACCCTCTTCGATAGAACAACCATGACATTGACTGTGATTTAAACTGCTGCTGTAAGGTCTAGTTGAGATATCAGCTATCACCCCCCTCCCCCCTCGAACACACCCCATCTTCCTCATACACCCATCTGTCTTTATTGCTCATAATTTTGTTCTCCCCTCTTCCCTCCCCTCACCCTCCTCACGTTCCTGATAGTGGGACCTGTACTACATGGGCAGTGAGCTCTACCATAGGAACCAGTGGCAGGAGCAGGTGGATGTGATGGAGACCTCTCTACAGGAACTGCCCAGGGCTCTCCAGCGGTGCAGGGATGAGTGCTATGGTCCTCTCTGACTTGGCGGCAGAATGGGCTTTGCTCAGGTTTTTTTGTACTGGCCTGTTGGGAATACTGGGCCTGGCAGCGTATGTGCTGTTGGTATACACGTAGTTCGTATGGGGACGAAGTGTGCAGCTCATACACTCATTGCGAGCTTAATCAGCTAGTTGTATTTTCAACTGGAGTCTTGTTGTTTGCCCTGATATTTCGGTTGATCCCTATCCATCCCAACCCTAAACAAAATTGACTGGAAGTATTTTTTTTGACCATGCCTTTTGCTTTTTATTTAGCCTTAAAAAGAAAGAAAATTGTGTGTGGAGACAAGGCTAGTTTACCAGTGTAAACAAAGCTGTAAGCCACACCGACTGCTGAGTTTCTTCACACTTTCGCTGTGTGTCATGCATTTCAGATATACCCAATGCACAGTAAACTTTTGAGGCCTATGCTTATACCAATTCTCTATGTCCCCAGATGGTTATCCACCCGATGATCACACTGAAGGAGTGTCAGAGCCAGTGTATCCACAAACTGGGAGAACCGTGAGGTTTGACAAGACCGATGACTTCTTTGGCAGCTACTTCCACTACCTCCAGTATGGCTACCACATGTGTGAGTCTGTAGTGATATGAGGTAGCCACTTCCACTATCTCCGAGTACCACACGTGTGGGTGCGTGCAGCGAGGTATTGTAATGGTCTGTCATCTCTGTGTGATGTGTGTGTCACCGATTCTCGCGTAACCGTGGCAATACCCGGAGCGTGAAACGTGGACATATATACCAGTCGGGAGGCAGGCATGGTGAAACTAAGATTTGGAGCGGAGAAGGCCAGGGAAGCTGGTGACGTCTGCCGAAGTGAGTGTGCGTCAAATAGAGATTGCGGACGATCGCTGTACTTAATGCTAGAGTTTGCCGTGTGGAGATTTGCTGGTCTGCCTGTATTATGGTATATACAGTGGAGTAGGATCAAGATTGCCGGTGAAGTGAGAGCAGCCACACGCCCCAGTGAATCCGTTCAGTGAAGGAGTCACTGAGGTAGTGTAGTAGCCGTCGGCTGCTGAAATGTAAGTATAAAGTGGTGAGGGTTATGTACTGTCATGTGCTTTTCACTTTGCTGTACTACTAACTAGTATTGAACATGCATGTGCAAAAGAATGTGATGATTTGACCTCCATAATCAACACTGGCGAGGGTTATGCACTTTCAAGTGCTTTTCATTCTGAAATTACATTACTACAACTCAAGGATCGCTACCACACGTGTGAGTCACTCGTACTGCCGAGTCCAAAGTACGGAGTGAAAGTCGGTACGTGATCGCATTCTCAGTTAACGCAACCACACCCTGTAAGCTTCAGCGCTCGTTCCTACCTAGTAGTGACGTCTCCCACACAAAACTGTGCCAGTGGTTGTATACACCTCTACATATTGGAGTCTACATATACCACGTTTCAAGACGCTGGCATGTTGCATTTTGGCAGCAGAGAGTGCTGCCAACGAAGGGTCCCGCAAAACATGGGTGTGGTTTAACACAGAGCAATTTTGGTGCTTCCCCTCGGAGCACCACGAACATTATACCAGTCTGTAGCACTGGAATGGAGTTACAATGTACTGCTTTGGCATCATGGTTAGTGTATACACATGTGTGGGTCTCTAGTGCCCCATGGAACAAAGTAGCCATACCCACTACCTCTAGTATGGCTACTATGTGGTGCTACACAACTGCCCCATACGCAATGTCTGGCTTTCCTGCTGATTTCAGTATCTGTTTCTTCTGCCTGTATCTTCTTCTTTCAACTTCAACTACATGTCTGCAGTGAATGCAAGTCTACCAGCCATCCAGGCATCAGCCACACAGCTACAGTTGGAACCCCACAGTGATGTAGCCAAGAAAAACGCTGTCTTCTACCGACAGCAACATGGAGTCACTCGCAAGGACTTCATTCCACGAGAGGTATGTGACTATTGGTGCACTTTTATTGAAATGCCTGTGCATGTGCTATATATTTTATAGAAAAGATACTGCATGTAATCATATGTATGGTATTGTAATATGCATAAATGTATGTATCTCGAGTATTATGGGTGAGCATGCACAGGAGGATCAAAGCTTTTCGCATAGCTGTCCTCTGCTGCTGGACGCGTGCCTCTCTTGCGTGCATCAGCGAGAAAAACATATTGCTACTACTTGGCTTCTTTCGGAAGCACCATGCTGCCTCCTGCAAGCTCTGTCTCTTGCTAGTCGCCGCCCCCGCACTGCCTGCTGAGTCACGCTCCATAAGTATCTTGCGTAGAGCAAACACATTGACAGAATCTGTGTAAAATTGAAATTTTAAAACTGCTGCGTTAAATTGGAATGTTGTGCAGTGCGGCAGTGCCAGCGGCAATGCGGGTCACAAAGATATAAAAAAATATTAATCAAACAGACAACTAGTTTGCTTGCTCCAGCTCCCAATAATGGTAGTAGTCTAGCCAAAAAGTCAGTCAGCCTTCTTCTAAACTTTACCATCTTTCTTTAATTGTACTTAGTAATGTATGGTCGTGCCCACCGTCCAACTGAAACATGGATTGGTCATGGCCACGCGATCCTGCACAAAATTGTGTCTCACGAGCAATGTATGTACATACACTTTGGAGGTGACTTTTGATGAGCGTTTCACTTGTCTTGTGTTGGTCTAACATTGTCATAAGACCCGAAAATGTGTGAATCTGAAAATAGTTTCAGTGTGATTTGCGCATCAGTACATTTTGCGATTTTGTGATTTTGCATGTGGTAACAAAACACATTGTGGCATAACGACACTACAGGTCCATCATGTATAAATACACAAACCCTGAATGTCTGGTTATATATAGCTTATGCTAATTGCAGTGAACAAAAGTGTACATTCTACGAAAGTTGTGCTAATACTACTATAATAGTCCTTGTTTCTTCTCTACTTCTTCATTGAGTGCAGACAACACATGTCACCTCCTTCTCACTGTCGTAAGGAGGACAACTGAGGCTGTTGCAAGTTGCCTCCACGTGATAGTAGAGAGCATTGCTGTCATCATGTCCATTCAGTCCAGGAACAGACTCTGGTTGACCATCAATACATTCAAACAGTGTACGACCATTGTGGCGATCATGTGCTGCCATGAGGTATCCATTGTACTCTGTGGTCCAGTTGGTGGGGCAGCTCAGTTTGGCAGGTATCACTAGTAGTTTACTTCTGATGGAGGTACAACAAACTGCACATGGGATGTTGTGGCTGGTTTTCCCTCCAAATGGCTGGTTTGTATTGGCTTGATACTCTGTTCCCCTGAGGGGACTATAACCCTGTACTCCACCCTCATAACGGGAGTACTCAGGATCATCTGGCAGACAGAGAAGATTGGCTGCACCTCCATGATGGTGGTAGTAAGACCCCCCAGCTCTTCCAGAGTAGACTAGTGTTGTTCCCTGGTCAGAGGGACAGGATGTCCTCCCCCAGCGAGTGTAGACTGGTTCCTCCTCCTGTTGCTGGACCCTGTAGACCAGGTTCTCCTTGAGGACCAGCCAGACCAGGGGAACCACGACTGCCCTTGTCCCCCACTGGCCCCCGGGGACCAGATATTCCAGCAGGTCCCCGGAAACCTGGCAGCCCCCTCTCTCCCATGTCTCCTGGCAACCCGGCCTCTCCTCTGGCTCCCTCTGCTCCTCTCTCTCCCTTCCCACCATCTCTGCCATTCTGACCCTCAGGACCTTGTGGACCCTGTTCTCTTTGAAGACCAGGCAGACCTTTGTCTCCCTTTGGTCCCTGGGCCCCTGGCTCTCCCCTCACACCATCTCTCCCGTCTCTACCGTCTCTTCCTTGCAGGAGCTCCACTTGTGGACAGGTGTGGGATTCTCCATCACCACTGGTGTATCTTGGGTCTCTCTCCAGAGAACGGGCTGCATAGAGAGTGAGAAGTAAAGGTGTTGCTTGTCAATTTGGTTACCAAAGAAGGAAGGTAATTGCATCTTTCCACTTGGGCCTTTTGTTTAGCTCTATCTTTAGTTACGTACTTCAAAATTTAGCCCTTACATACTACTACATTCCCTTTAAGTAGCTATTATAGTCATACCTCCAGTCAGTGCGCAGATCACCGTTACAGCTAGTGTAGCTTGCAGTATAACCTTTAGAACGGCTCCCATTTTTTCTTTCGGTGACAAGTGATTTTGTGATCTCCTCAGTTGGTGTCGTCACTTTTATTTGAAAGAGGCTGTGGGGGCTGTGTTGTGGTACTAAACTTGATGTTTTTTTAGGATCACACCTTTGTTGAACAGTTATTCACGAATGATTACACCAGTATCTGAATACCACTCTCCTGAAAGGCGCGGTGAGCTCTCAATACAACAGAATGTGTAGTAATGTGCACATTCACAATGTGCGCACAGCTTTTTATTTGGAGGAGTTTTGGTGGTGGTTGGTCATGTTGTGTTCTACTTACAGGAATGTAATCGATATATGCATAGGTGTTTTTGCTGAGTTTGGAGGATTATTTGCACACAGTCACATGTTCTACTTCTACACAACGTTATTCAGTTATAGAAATCGTGTGGATTTCTCCATCATCACTGGGTCTCTGTCCAGAGAATGAACTGTGAAGAGGGTGAAAAAACAGTAGATTTTCATACCTACAGTCAGTGAGCTGATCATTGTTACAGCTTGCAGCTGGCAGTTAAATCTTCAGAGCAAATCTCATTAACCCTCAGCACGCATGCACAGTGAGGGTTACAGTAGTCGTTCTGTTTGTCTGTCTGTGTGTCGACGCTTATTCTGGCACTACAGGCTACGAGGCGGCCTATTAGTGATACCAACGGCTGCAGAACTACTCGAGCCTGAAAACTAAAAGAGCGATTTTGCCTAAACTACTGCGTTCGAGAGTGAGAAACTGGCCCGGTCGAGTACCAAGTTTTGTGGCCCAACTCAACAATTAGCTGTGCGCATGCGTGTATTATGCACGTTCGAAATGCGCAGCGTGGCTGACATCAACTGGGTCCGCTCACTCTGTGTATCTTGAAAGCACAAGATGTCACAACGAAGGGCATGTATCGACTTCCGCATGCTATCTAGTACTGTAGCTAGCCCGTGTCAGACTCTCAGTGAGCTGCTAGCGGGAGAAACGGATACTGATAACCCAGCCCATCAATTACTTAGCGGTATGGCGCATGCGCAGTTTGCTGAGGGTTTGCACTTTAGTGCTTTTTATTAACCCTCGGCGTGCATGCACAGCGAGGGTTACTGTAGTTGGTTTGTGTGTGTGTGTCTGATACCACATTTTCTGCCACCAGGCACAATGAGACAGCCAATAAGCTATGCCAATAGGTTCGGCGCAACACTGGCTTGATTTTAAAACTGGCGTAAAATATGTGTTCGAAAGTTATGGCGTGAAAAGCAAGTGAACTAGCCAATATGCAAATTAGCACAGGCTTACTTCGACAAGATGTGCTTGCTCTGCATACCATGGAGGCTCAAGAAGTCTCAACGGAGGGCGTGTATCGACTCCCGCATGCTTTCTACTACTGTAGCAGGCCTGTGTCAGACTCTCTGCGTGTGTCAGACTCTACTAGCGGAAGACCATGAGTAAACTCATACTACGGCCCAGCCCATCAATTTAGCAGTATCGATAGTGCTTGCGCAGTTCGCCGAGGGTTTGCACTTCAGTGCTTCTCATTTTTTCACTAACCAGTCAATGTATGCACTATGTACATGGTTGGTATATATCTATAAGAGTTAGTGGGTTGCGATCACTCCCTTGGTTGGTGGTTACTCACCTGACTCTGAGAAAGTTATGATGCTACTCAGAAGGGAGGGTGCCACTCTAAACGTCTTATATGCACTGTTGCACTCCACTACCTTTTCCAACATAGTTTCTCTTCTGACTAGGTACACGCAGACACACAAGTAAATGGAAACACCTGGAGATAAGGGTGTATTTCTTTGATTGTGTATGGCGTTCATCTAGACATGGAGAAATGATGACTCGCACACCTCCATGTATCATGCGCCATCCATGCTCTCAAGCCAACACCGAGGGTCTCATTTGGTTGCACAGTTGTGGTCAGTAACTCACGGTAATGCAGGCGGTCTGTGTGCATGTTGCATTTTTAAAAGTGTAGTGTGCATTGTGGTTCACAAAGTTTATTCGCATCTTACACTGCCATGTTGCACAGGATGTACAGCCATCTCTGTCTCCCTTTGGTCCCTGAGCTCCTGGCTCTCCCCTCACACCATCTCTCCCGTCTCTGCCGTCTCTTCCTCTCAGGAGCTCCACTTGTGGACAGGTGTGGGTTTCTCCATCACCACTAGTATTGCTTGAGTTTCTCTCCAGAGAACGGGCTGCGCTGCATAGAGAGTGGGAAATAAAGACGTTGCTGGTAATCTTAGAGGAAATGAAGCAGTATTGTAATATAAACTGTTAGAAACGTAATTGCATCTTTGCAGTTGGGCCTTTTGTTTAGCTCTATCTTTAGTTAAATTTCAAAACTTACTACTACATTCCCTCTAAGTAGCTATTATGGTCACACTTGGTACCTGCTGTCAGTGAGCAGATCATCACTACTCCTAGTAGCGCAGCCGGCAGTATAACCTTTAGAACAACTCCCATCTTTTTCTTCAGTGACTAGTGATTTTGTGATCTATTCAGTTGGTGTGGTCACTTTTATTTGAACGAGACTGTGAGGGCTGTGTTGTGGTACTAAACGTGTTTTTAAGATCACTCTTTTGTTGAACAGTTTTTCACGAATGACTAACCCTCGGCGTGCATGCCCAAGCTTGGGTTACAGTACTTGGTTTGGTTTGTCATTCCGTCTGTCCGTCCGTCCGTCTGTCTGTCTGTCTGTTACCACATTTTCTGCCACCACGTGCAACGAGACAACAAAATAGCAGATACAATCAGGTTCATTTCTACGCTGGCTTGATTTTAATAATAGCGATTTTCGTAGAAGTACTGCGTTCTAAAGTTATGGCGTGAAAACCAAGTGAACAAGCCAATATGCTAATTGGCTTACCTGGACCTGATCCGCTTGCTATGTGTACATCGGAGGCACAAGAAGCAAAAACGAGGGGTGTGTATCGACTCCTCCATGCTATCTACTACTGTAGCTATCCTGTGTCAGACTCTCCTCGAGCTACTAGCGGGACACCATGAGTAACAACTCTCCCGAAAAGCGCAGTAAGCTCTCAATACAACAGAATGTGTAGTAATATGCACATTCACAATGTGTGCACAGCTTTTTATATGGAGGAGTTTTGGTGGTGGTTGGTCATGTTCTTGGTTTTGGAGGATTTTTTGCACACAGTCACGTGTTCTACTTCTACACAACATTGTTTAGTTAAAATCGTGTGGATTTCTCCATCATCACTGGGTCTCTCTCCAGAGAATGAACTGTGAAGAGGGTGAAAAAAACTATAGATTTTCATACCTACAGTCAGTGAGCTTATCTTTGTTACAGCTTGTAGCTGGCAATTAAATCTTCAGAAATACTCGCATTTTTTCAGTAACCATGCACCATGTACATAGTTGGTGTGTGTCTTTAAGACTAGTGGGTTGCTACGCTAATGTCTAGTTATGATCACTCCCTTGGTTGATGGTTACTCACTTGACTCTGAGAAAGCTATGATGCTACTCAGAAGGGAGGGTGCCACTCTAAACGTGTTATATGCACTGTTGCACCCCACTACCTTTTCCCGCATAGATTCTCTTGTGATGACTCACACATGTGCCATCCATGCTCTCAAGCCAACACTGAGGGTCTCATTTGATCGCACAGTTATGGTCAGTAACTGCACGGTAATGCAGGTGGTCTGTGTGCAAGTGTAGTGTGCATTGTGGTTCACAAAGTTTATCCACATCTTGATGTTGCACAGGATGTGCAGCCACTGATAGAGTCCATGGATCTGGAGCATTCCTTCATGCATGTCCTGGATGAGTTGTCAGGTCATCTGGAGCAGTTTGGGGAGGAGAGACAGGGAGGAGAGGAGGGACAGGACGATGCTGAACTGGTCAGAAACTGTTGCTGCTAATGTTGATCATTGCCTACGTGTTGGTCTACAACAGTTTAATAGGTCTTAAAACAGTTTGTGTGCCAAGACAATAATCAGAGCGTTGGTAGACGCTCTATGGCACGGGTGAAATCTCACGTGATCCACGTACAAAACACCTCCAAACTCGATTCGGCGATAATGCCGTTATAGGTCTTCTAAACACACTAGCAAAAAATGTCGGGCCCATCTCTAGCTAATTCGCATGCACAAAGTCAATTGTAAAGTACTAGTGAAATGCTAAACCACAAAAATGTGGCCGCAATAATTTTCACTCTAAGGTGCATATTATAGTTCATAGCAATTACAGTGTAGTGGTTGTGTCATGATTACAGCTGGACAATGATTTCTTAGCCAATCCTCCTGCCAATATGCCACAAACAGAAGAATGGGAATGGCAAGAGTGGAATAAGGTGTGTACAAGACTCCAGTGTGTGAGTGGGCACATTTTTTTGCCAGAAGTAGTCCAGTCTTTGTGTTGTGTCATGATTTTCCATCCCATTCTCTCCTTACCCCAGCCTGAAATAGTCAGGTTCACAACTGACCCAGACCGTCTGCTGGCGGACAATGTTTTATCTCAAGACCAGTGTGATAAACTACTAGAGTTGGCCAAGGTAGGATATCGTCGTTTTACCGTAAAATTTAACATTTTTGCAAACATTTAAATTACAGTAGGCATGCGTTTCCATTCCATAGAATGACCATTCAACAGGTAACGTGGTGGTTTGTCATGTTCTGTTCTACTTACAGGTACATACATATGTGTATTTGTAATAGATACATAGTAGAATTTTTTTGCACACAGTATTCTACTTCTACACAACATTGAAAATCGTGTGGATTTCTCCATCATCACTGGGTCTCTCTCCAGAGAATGAGCTGTGAAGAAACGGTAGATTTTCATGCCTACAGTCAGTGAGATAATCATTGTTAGAGTTAAATCTTCAGAAAACCTCTCATTTTTTCAGTAACCATAGGCTCTGAGAAAACGACCCTTATGGCGCACGTTGTATTGTTGTAGTAGCGGCGGTTTTGCGGCGAACTACATAATTTACGGATTCCCGTTTTTCCCTGTATTCTAGTACCTCTGTCTATCGTCTACAATCTGCGCAAGTTTGACGCACCAACTCCGTTCCGTTCCGTAGTTATGGCCCTGGATATGGCAACTACCGCACTTGCGCCGTCGTTACGCGGAATTACAAGGAAACGTGACACGGGAATAATCTAACCTTTTACGGAGTCACGTAAACGGGAATTCCCCTAGTTGATTTCTCCAATGCCTTCAACTCAGTCAACCGTGCGTGTATGTTCCAGGAGGTGCGGTCTCGGATTCCTTCCATGGCTGCGTGGGTAGAAAGCTGCTACGGTTCCCAACCACTTTTGTATTTTGGAGACCACAGGCTCTTCAGCTGTTGCGGAGTTCAACAAGGAGATCCTTTGGGTCCCCTATGTTTTGCTCTCACTCTCCACCCGATTGTTGAGCAGATCAAGAGGGAAGTTCCGGAGCTGCTTATTAACGCATGGTAACTTGATGATGGCACCCTCTGTGGTTCCCTCAGCGACATTGGTTCTGCTCTCGCCATAATTGAGTCAGCAGGACCATCACGAGGCCTCATCCTCAACAAGAGCAAATCTCTTCTCTTTGTTCCTGCTGATGCTTCCCCCTCTAATCATGCTGTACCTCCTGAGGTCCCGATTTGCAGTGGTGGTTTTGAGCTCCTGGGCTCTCCGATTGGCCCATCATCCTACTGTGAGTCTTCTGTCCTGAAGAGAGTCAATAAGATCCAAGAGGCTCTGATCAACCTACGAGACCTCCATGACTCACAGATGGAAGCCATTCTCTTGCGTTCCTGTCTCTCCTTGCCAAAAATTGCCTTCGCCCTACGTACATGTGCCCTGGACCTCATTCGACCCGCACTGGAAACTTTCGACAACACGATTAGGGAGGCTTTATCTGACCAGGCGGGGTGTCCCCTCCCAGATTGGTCATGGCTGAAGGCTTCCCTCCCGAGCAGCCTGGGAGGCTTGAATCTTCGCCGGGCAGCACTACATGCTCCAGCCGCCTACATTAGTTCGCTGCATCAGTCCGAGCCTCTCATCTCTGATATTCTCGGCCATTCACCATCACCTCCTGCTTTGCTTCCCTCCTGTGTCAGGGCCCTCGGTATGGCAGCCTCGATGCCAGATTGGTCCTCTCCGCAGAAGATTGATGTTCCTCTACGTCAACGTACTCTCTCCCGTCTCATCGATGAAGCCTCCTTCGATTTTCTCATCGAGTCCTCCCCCGGTGTTCGTTCAAAGGCCTTGGCTCTCTCTTCGGCCCTCCCACATGCTGGGGATTGGCTCAATGCTGTTCCTTCTTCTGCTCTTGGCCTTCATCTCCTGGACCAAGAGTTTCGCCCCTGTCTTCAATATTGGCTGGGGCTCCCAATTTTTGTGGAGGGGGTAAGGTGCCCTGTCTGCCGGAGCGTTGCTGACCCCTTCGGCGATCACCATGTAGGTTGTGGGGGTAATGGGGATCGTATCCATCGTCACAACTCTATCCGGGATGCAATATTTTCAGCAGCACAGACAGCTGCTTTAGCGCCCCGGAAGGAGTTGCCATCTCTCGTGCCCTGCTCCCAATCTCGCCCTGCTGACATTTTCCTCCCTAACTGGGAAAGAGGTCGTCCAGCCGCACTTGACGTCTCCGTCATTTCCACTCTGCAACAGCTTACTTTGAATGGTGCAGCCAGTGTCCAAGGGCACGCATTGAGAGTAGGAGAAGAGAGGAAGATGGCCCTTCACGCAGCCTCATGCCGGGCTGTGGGAGTGTCGTTTGTCCCTCTCCTGGTCGAGTCTCTCGGAGGCTGGAGTGATCTCGCTGCCAAAACCCTCTCCAGTATCGGTCGGCTCCTAGGGCAGCGGCTGGGCTTACCTCCCTCCGAAACCACCCGTCACCTCTTCCAACGGTGCGCTATTTGCCTCTGGAGAGGAAATGCAACTCTGTGGCTTCACCGTTGCCCAACGCCTCCCCCGCACATTGACAGTATTATTTAGCGTTTTTCTTTGTTGTTTACTTTTTTTTGTTGTATTTTGTCTATTTGTTTGTTTGTTCTTTTGCTTGTCTATTGTATCGTTTACTTATCATAATAATATTCAACATAATTTACCTATCGAATGCGGCCGGATGCACGAGCGCGCGTAATGTTGTAACACGGACTTGTTACGAGAATACAGGAGGTTGAAATTTGACAACCGACAGTTCAACTTTAGACCCGATTTTTCACGTTAGATGCAGCGGAATGGCACTTGCGTCTCAGCTCATAACTTCGCAACGGAACGGGCTACGCCCCTGAAACAAACGGCAAACTATAGAGCATTTATAGGACTTTCGGTCTAGCGGACAAAATGTATTTCGCTAATTTGCGCCACAAGGGTCGTTTTCTCAGAGCCTGTCACTATTATAGTTGGTGTATATCTATGAGACTAGTGGGTTGCTACGCTAATGTTTAGTTACGATCACTCCCTTGGTTGATGGTTACTCACCTGACTCTGAGAAAGTTATGATGCTACTCAGAAGGGAGGGTGCCACTCTAAACATCTTATATGCACTGTTGCACTCCATTACCTTTTCCCACATAGATTCTCTTGTGACTAGGTACACGCAGCATGCACAGACACACAAGTAAATGGAAACACCTGCAGATATGGGCCTAATTCTTGGATTGTGTATGGCGTTCATCTAGACATAGAGAAATGATGACTCGCACACCTCCATGTATCATGCGCCATCCATGCTCTCAAGCCAACACCGAGGGTCTCATTTGATTGCACAGTTGTGGTCAGTAACTCACGGTACCGCAGGCGGTCTGTGTGCATGTTGCATTTTTACAAGTGTAGTGTGCATTGATTGTGGTTCACAAAGTTTATTCACATCTTGATGTTGCACAGGATGTACAGCCACTGATAGAGTCCATGGATCTGGAGCATTCCTTCATGCATGTCCTGGATGAGTTGTCAGGTCATCTGGAGCAGTTTGGGGAGGAGAGACAGGGAGGAGAGGAGGGACAGGACGATGCTGAACTGGTCAGAACCTGTTGCTGCTAGTGTTGATCATCGCCTACGTATTAGGTCTTAACATATTGCCTAGGTCTTACAACAGTTTGTGCCTAAGACAATTTAGTGCTTAGATAAAACCAGGTTTGGTGCGGTGCCTGACATTTTTTCAATTAGACAAGTATGTTACCTTAGAGTTGTACTAATTTGAGGGTACTAATGTTTGTTATTTTTATGGTTTTCGTGTAAAGCACAAAATTTAATGCTCGTAAGAGTTGTTGCACTCACCTGTGTGCATGCGCAGCGCAGAGCCATGCCCATGTTTAGAACTATAACGGCCCCAGAGCCTTGCGTAAAGCCATGTGTTCATGAGATATCTACGGCTGTACTGCCCAGTCTGCGACATCTCTGTGGGGTTTACCATTTCACATGCACAAAGTCTATTGTAAAGTACGTACTATCAAAATGCAAAACCACAAAAATGTGGCCACAATAATTTTCACTCTAAGGCGGGTATAGTTAATGGAAATTACAGTATAGTGGTTGTGTCTATCTCTTTATGATTACAGCTGGACAATGATTTCTTAGCCTATCCTCCTGCCAATATGCCACAAACAGAAGAATGGGAATGGCAAGAGTGGAATAAGGTGTGTACATCAGACTCCAGTGTGTGAGTGGGCAAATTTTTTGCCAGCAGTAGTCCAGTCTTTGTGTTGTGTCATGATTTTCCATCCCTTCTCTCCTTACCCCAGCCTGAAATAGTGAGGTTCACAACTGACCCAGACCGTATGCTGGCAGACAATGTTTTATCTCAAGACCAGTGTGACAAACTACTAGAGTTGGCCAAGGTAGGATATCGTCGTTTTACCGTAAAATTGAACATTTTTGCAAACACTGAAATTATATTAAAAAGTATGTGTTTCCGTTCCGTAGAACAGCCTTTCAACGGGTAACCGTGTCCTTTTCTCCTTCAAAATACTAATCTACACTTGTTGAAGATTCGTCATGCAGCACGCGAAAAGTCGCTGAAAACGACACGAAGAAAAAACACGGTACAGAACAGATCACAAAGTAAACGGGAGGGAAACGAGAACAGAACGGGACGAGCTGTTCCGCAGACGGAACAGAAATGCGTACTTTTCTTTTTATGACGCCTACTGTATGTCAAAGCCAGCATGCTGTTTGGTCTGAGACTAGCAGGACGCTAGGACGTACGTTGTCTCGATGTGCAAAATCGTGCACAACGATAAGTCTTCCTCGAAGGAGGTGGGGTTCGGAAAGAATGCACATGCATAAAAGAAGTACGCAATTAAAATAGAAGTGGTAGCGGGTCCCTGTGGCCTTGTGTAGCTCTCCAGTTAGCACAAAATGTTGCCGTGGCTGAGTTCGTAGTTTCTTGCACCAATATCTGTGCACATCGAAAGCCAGTTTAAGAAATTCTATGACGCCGAGCACTCAGCAACAACGTCTGGTATAGCTTTCAAGTGGTTGGATATTTATAAATAGTACTCGGGAAATGGATAATGTCCGACAGTTTACTGAAATGTTGTATATACTTAATGAGGTTCATTAGAGAGTCGGTAGACTCTCTATATAGGGATGACACGGGTGAAATCTCACGTGATCCGCGTACAAAACGACTAAAAACTCGGTGAGAACCACTCCCTAGGCCTTCAAAACATACTAGCAATAGTCTACGGGCCCATATCTACCTATACATGTCCCCCAAGAGCTCATACGCACCTTCAGTCGTCCACGCGAGAATTCGCTCATACGCGATTTCACGATTTTCGTGTCATCATATTCTTCATCTTCTTCTTCTTCTTCTTCTTCTTTAAACCCGCTATCTCCTTACCAGTACCAGTTCAAGCACTGATTTTTTCACTGAAGGTCTCCAATTTTTGCCGGAGGTGTGCACGGACATCAAGCGATCGTTTCTTTCTTGCCGCTAGTCACTACGGTAGATCATGGAGCTCTTCCATGGTCGACCTGAACAACGCCATTTGCTGCTTACTCAGCATCAGTGATCCGCGCGCATGCGCCAGGCAGGGGCGTTGTCCAATGTGCTTGCGAGCGTATTCTACTGGGCGAGTTGGCAGACCTGCAGAGGAACTGTCAGCCTCCAGTACCTTCTGTAAGTAAGTGTGCACATTTCCAACTGGCTATCTTGCTGTTGATTTGCACGAAGAGCAATTTGCCAGAGTCTGCGCGGTGTTACGCGAGCCTTGCGGGGCACTCAGTCAAATGGGCCTTCATTGTTTGTCCCCCCCCAGGTTGTAGCCTGATTACCAAAGCCTGCCAATGAAACCACAACCATGTGCAATAATCTAATTACATCCTTGTTGAAGACAATACGGTATCTAGCAGCCCCATTAGCTACTACTTTCAACAGTTACTATGGTAGCCTATCTACAAATGAACATCAGAGTGACTGTAACAATAAATGCAGTGTTGCCATAAGCTGTTAAAAATAGTGGAAACAAGTGTTTTATTGTTTATATGCAAAGTTTAATACCAAACAATATCAAACAAAGATATAGGGATGTTGTCATGTAGCTTTGCTGTGTAATGACCCCTTGTTTCTTCCTTTTTGGTGCTTCAAGCCATCCCTATATCCCCCTTTCATTTTGAAGAAATGAATTTTCCACTTGTATTATAACAATTGCAATACTGTAAAGAGGGAGATGGCTACCAACGCAAGGCCCCCCACACTTACAACGAGCTCTTTGAAGAACTCAACATTCTTGATGCAGCCAAGGTTTGTATTACTATGTAGTACCATGCTGCTTCTGTGCATGGCAAACACGAGTGATGTCTTACTACGTATGTGTTTTATTATACGAGCTCTTGACAACTAAGACCTAAAATGCAAACCACATGTATAAACGATAAAGGAAAAAACTTTGCATCCCCCTTCCATGGCGGTTCTAGACTTTTAGTAACAGAGAGGTTAAGACTGCACATACATGTATGTATGAAACAGTGAAGAGGACTCACATGGTAGGAGTATGAAGCTCTCCGTGTGACCCCTCAACTTACCCTTCTAGGCCACCTTCTCTTGATGGGTATGGCTGTAGATCAAGCTGATAACGTAAGCGTCTTGTACTTCTACTTCTTTACTTGCTTCAAAAGATCGGCTTTCTCAGCACTGCTGAAGGCATCGTAACATTTCCTCTTGCACTGACACGCAGGCCCTGTTCCATGAGCCACGACCGTCTTACCCGTAGTTGGAGAGACGTAGGCTTCACCTTTCGCCCGTTTCACTTAAGCGACATTCCTTTTCCACGCTCTCCCTGCTGCCTCCTGCGACCACAGGCACGACGGTATTTATCCTTTACTCTTCCATGGTAAAAAAAAATCACTCCCTGTGGCCGTGGGGGACATACGTAATCAACCAAGACTTTTATCCATCTGACTGTGTCTGCTTGACAGTAGCAAGTTTCGTCATACTTTACACTATCATTTGTACCTTCCCCATAAATACATAGTGTCTATTATACAGAAATCCCAGGAGGGAGAGGTTGTTCCAGAGCTGTCTCAACTGTATATCAATGCCAGCAGGAGGTCTCGAGATGCAATAGCCAAGGAATTCAATCTCCAAACTCCACTCTATTTCTCCTACACCCACTTAGTCTGTCGCACAGCCAAACATGGTATATCACACCCACCTTTATCTATTCATTGTCTGTGCACACATTCTGAAGGCATGTTTTTATAGTAGCTGAAACACTCATGTTCTACCGGAGCACTACTTCATCACCGTAATGCTGGATTGTTCCACATATCTGTCTGTAACGTACATCGGGCCATACAATCCAGAATGTTTAACTAATGCTCATTTTGTTTGTCAAAAATGCATTATACTGTATCTGTGTGTCTGGTAATGGGTGCTGACCACCACACCACCCCCCTCCCTGCAGTGGTGGAGAGGAGAGATCTGAGTCATCATGTCCACTCTGATAACTGCATCCTGAACGAGGCCACTGGAGATTGTGACAAAGTCCCTCCTGCCTACACCTGGAGAGACTACAGGTCAGTGGAGGGAGGGATGGGATGCGGGCAAGGAAGAAAAGAACAGGAGGTAGAGAGAGGGGGTGTTGAGAATTTGATTGGCTGACCAATAACATAATGTGATTGGCTCTTTCGTGAGGGAGAAAGGGAAGGGACAAAAGATCGTCCTCATTGTCATGACCATAATTTTAATGTAATACCGGGACACTATTAACTCAGAGCTTAAACACATGCAACTCTCAAACCTTAAAAACAGTTACTTCTCCCTCATTTCCAGTGTACCGTAGTTGTTCAAGCAAATCCAATTCTGGTCAAATCCCCCTCCACAGTGCCATTATGTACCTCAATGATGAGTTTGAAGGAGGAGACTTCTTCTATGCACACTCTACAAAGGACCTCTCACCTGAGGTAGGTGAGTTTGCCAATGCCATGCTGTGCTCCTGAATTAGGCTTAGCTTTTACTCACATAGATCCATGCTTGAATTGTGCTGCCACAGCATGATCTCGTTTCACATCCGCTCTAGCAGTCAAGAATGCACATTGAATAACATAGAGTGGTGAAGAAGGCCTGAGAACAAGGCCATTCGTGGCTGTAAAACACTTCATCTATGATTGAGGAAAGATATTTTGCTGCCACAGTCTTCTTTAACTCCCATCTCCCCCCGTCCCTCTCCCTGTGCCTCAGGAGACGGTGAGTCCAAAGTGTGGTCGTCTGGTGGCCTTCTCAGCTGGGAAGGAGAACATGCACGGAGTACTGGCTGTCACCAAGGGCAGGAGGTGTGCCGTGGCTCTCTGGTTCACCCTTGACCCAAACCACAAGGAGGCTACCTTCTCCATGGCTGAGGAGATTCTCCACGAGATTAAGACTGTTTCATGATAGGGATTTTGTCTACAACTGATTCAAATTATTTTTTGTACCAATTATGCAGCTGCAAGTGTGGACATTGTAATTCACTTGTGCGTCACTAGATAATGACAAAGAATCACACTATAACCATACCTCTCCTGGTGTATGTATTGATCGCGTTATGGGTGTAAAACATCTGATACTATCTAACTTAAGCTTCCCTGTGAAGCCTGTGTAAATGTTCTTGTCTGACCCTGAAAAGCAAAAGCTGTGGAAGGAAGGACAGTAAAAAGGTAAGACTGCTTATTTGCAGTCATATGACGTACCCCTCGTCGGGGAGTTAGAGCAAGAGTGGTGGCTAGTAGTTGAACCTTCAGAACTACTATCGTATTTGAAGAATTGGATGTCTTCTCATCTAAAGAACATTTCTTCCTTTTATGGCTACCCTCTCCGATAGTCATATATGGAACAGCCATGACATTGGCTGTTGCTGCTGTGAGGTGTAGTTGAGATATCAGCTATCACACCCCCCTTCTTCCTCATACACCCATCTGTCTTTATTGCTCATTTGGTTTCCCCTCCACTCCCCTCCCTCCTGCCTGTACTACATGGGCAGTGAGCTCTACCATAGGAACCAGTGGCAGGAGCTGGTGGATGTGATGGAGACCTCTCTACAGGAACTGCCCAGGGCTCTCCAGCGGTGCAGGGATGAGTGCTATGGTCCTCTCAGACTTGGTCGCAGAATGGGCTTTGCTCAGGTTCTATTTGTACTGTAGGCAGTATATACTGGGCCTGGCGTCTTGTAGTGCTTGTGCAGTTAGTATATATAGTTCTAATAGGTTGTGTGGGTACACAAAGTGTGCAGCTCATACACTCATTGCGAGCTCAATCAGCAAGTTGTATTTTCAACTACAGTATTGTTGTTTGTCCTGATGTTTGGCCCCATCCACCCCAACCCTAAACAACTTTTTACTGGGAGTGTTCTAATTTGGATGCAGAGAATCTGGTTATCTCAGTTAGGGTAACTATGTCTTTTGCTTAATATTTAGCCTTAGAAACTAGAAAGACGATTGTGTGTGGAGCAAGGCTAGTTTGTGTGTGTAAACAAGCTGTAAGCCACACAGGCTGCGAACTTTCGCTGTATGTCATGCTTTTAGATTTATCCAATGCACAGTAAACTTTTGAGGCCTATGCTCACCAATTCTCTATATCCCCAGACGGTTATTCACCAGATGATCACACTGAAGGAGTGTCAGAGCCAGTGTATTCACAAACTGGGAGAACTGAGGTTTGACAAGACTGAGGACTTCTTTGGCAGCTACTTCCACTACCTCCAGTATGGCTACCACATGTGTGTGTCTCTAGTGGTATGAGGTAGCCATTTCCACTCTCTCCAGTACCACATGTGTGGTGCGTGCAGGCGAGGGTTATTGTAATTGGTCTGTCTCTCTGTGTGTGTGTGTCCACCGATTTTCTCGGTAACCGTGGCAACCTGAGCGTGAAACGTGGACATATTATCAAGTAGGAGGCATGCATGGTAAACTAAGATTTGGAGCGGAGAAGGCCAGGGAAGCTGGTGACGTCTGCCGAAGTGAGTGTGCGTCAAATAGAGATTGCGGACGATCGCTGTACTTAGATGCTAGATGCTTTGCACGTGTGGAGATTTGCTGGTCTGCCTGTATTTATGGTATATACAGTGGAGTAGGATCAAGATTGCCGGTGAAGTGAGAGCAGCTACACGCCCCAGTGAATCCGTTCAGTGAAGGAGTCACTGAGGTAGCCGTCGGCTGCTGCAATGTAAGTATAAAGTGGTGAGGGTTATGTACTGTCATGTGCTTTTCACTTTGCTGTACTACTAACTAGTATTGAACATGCATGTGCAAAAGAATGTGATGATTTGACCTCCATAATCAACACTGGCGAGGGTGATGCACTTTCAAGTGCTTTTCATTCTGAAATTACATTACTAATACAACTCAAGGATCGCTACCACACGTGTGAGTCACTCGTGCTGCCGAGTCACAAAGTACGGAGTGAAAGTCGGTACCTGACCGCATTCTAAGTTAACGCAACCACACTTCCTGTAAGCTTCAGCAGGCTCGTTCCTACCTAGTAGTGAGCGTCTCCCCACACAAACTGTGCCAGTGGTTGTATACACCTCTACATATTGGAGTCTACATATACCACGTTTCAAGACGCTGGCATGTTGCATTTTGGCAGCAGAGAGTGCTGCCAACGAAGGTCCCGCAAAACATGGGTGTGGTTTAACACAGAGCAATTTTGGTGCTTCCCCGCGAGCAACACGAACATCTTTACCAGTCTGTAGCACTGGAATGGAGTTACAATGTACTGCTTTGGCATCATGGTTAGTGTATACACATGTGTGGGTCTCTAGTGCCCATGGAACAAGTAGCATACCCACTA